AAGGTAAGGAAGATGTCCTTGACGTTTTCACCATTTAATTTTCCCATTTTTTCTTCTTTCTGTGCCACTTCTAAAAGCTCTGCATTGTTCCCCAATTCTGTCTCCCCCATCTTTTGTCCTAGTACTTTCATATAATTGATTAAGGAATCATCTGTTTTTCTTTGATCCTCATCCCCTACAACTCTCCTGTTGTTTTGCTAGTTGTGCTCCTAACAGTGGTTAATAAGTATTGAGTCTACACTTAGAAACCAGAAGAGATGTGAATTGAGCAAAAAGTTTTTTGACAATCCTTTAAGAAAGAATTTGTGAGAGAATGAAAAAGGATACACATCCCTCTTCCATACCTTCCCAGGTCATTGATTGTCGTGACACATCTGAGGCTTTGAAGAAGCTTTATGTTCAGTATTTTCCTCCTCATCCTGTCCTCTACTTTGCCTGTCTCAATTTGCAGTCTTATTTTTTCTGCTTTCACTTCAACTCTAGTGTTTTCTGGGGTCTTAGGGCATGTTTTTCCATCCTGAGTGCTTTCAACTCTCTGTCTTCCAACATCAGTAGCACTTACGGGCTTTTCTGCTTGTGCTTCTAGCTTTGCTAGACTTCCAGTCCTTATCAGAACTGGTTTTTTGATAACAGTGGTCCACTGCATTCCTTGGTAGGAGTGATGGTTAAGGAATATCTGTTTCTATCTTACTGGACAGGAAGTGCCACCTCCTTGAGAATTTTATTGTGTTTTTCTTGTATGTTGTAAAAGTGAAAATGGATTCCCTTTCAGAAGGGAATCCTCAAATAGAAGAGACACAGAGGTGCTGAGCTTCATAAGGGTAGGGAAGGAGATGGCCATGAGGAAAATCCAGCCTGTTTCTGGGAACATGGTTCAGGAATATGATGTCCCCTCTAGCATGATCCTGACCTTCTCTGTTTTTCCATCATCAAATTTGTTTTTTTTTTAAATTATTATTTCTCTTTAGGACCTGGGCAGCTTTTGTGGGCAGATCATTTAAAATGTTCTCCATATTTTAACAGTTTTGTACAAGCTGGCCTCTTGTAAAGTATGAAGGAGACTCAGATATGCTGAGATTTCAGAATATTCATTAACTATAAAGCAGATACACTGAACTGTATGATCCTTCTCAGTACTCAAAATAGACCAAAACATCTGTTTTGACTGAAGACAAAGAAAAAACCTAAGGAGACTGAAATGGTGCAACAAATAGCATCATCCTCCATGGTTCTTATCAGTGGCTGACCAAGGAGGTTCTTGTAGTAAGGGATCCTGACTTTACCAAGGTGCTGTAGGTAAGCCCATGTAGTAAAGCATTTCCAGATTTTCCTTTCTTTCAGGCTGTGGGAGACATCCACAAGCATAAAGAGGCTGAGTGTCTTTAAAGCTGGTTTCAGCTCCCAGAGAGATCGCTTCCACTGCAGGATTGCTCCTTTGGGTTCCTGCAGTGCCTGTAAGCACAGGGAAAGGAGGGGGATTAGGGAGCAGTGAGGGGGAGTGGGACCATTTGTGTCCACTTTTCACTCTCAGCTCTCTGTACTTGACATGAGCACAAATATTTCTGGGTTATGAACCTGTGACTTCTTGTGCACAGCCACGAGGGCAGAGTCTTCACGGGGACCTGAGGTTCTGTCCTACAAGAGAAGAAGCTTTCAAGAAATGCAGTCTCTGAAGCATAGTTTCTTGAAACACCTAAAATCATATTAGTGGTGATCCTTTTAATCTGCACAAAGAGCCTGCTGGTGTGGGAGATTTTTATTTTACCTGGTTGGGTATTGTGTTTCAATGCAGCAGATGGCATGTGTATGACAAGTGCCCTTTGGTAAGAAAGTAAACACAGCAAAAAATACACCCCAATCCCCTGGCATTTTCTTAGGCCTTTTATAACATCAAAGCACCCTTGTGCAATACTCATTTGAGTCACCTGATGCAAGAGCCAAGGTTTTGTGATAGCTATTTTCTTCTGTTGTTCCGATGTTGGTACAGCTGGCAAGATTCTTGAGATACAGGGAAGAGCAATGTGATATTCAAGGTGATATGTTTTAATTGAGTTGTAGCCTGAGCTAAGACAGATTAAATTCAGTTACTTGTCCTGGAAGTATTTTGTGTCAATGTGTAGTTTTTCAAAATTAACTTAGATCCTAGTTTGCAATATAAGTAGAATAGGACAAAAACACGATTTTGTTTATTTTGGGCTTGGTGGGGAGGCATTCCTGATGAATGAAATGCTCAGTTGAGACTATTGATCTGCATGGCTTGCAAAGGGCAAATGAAGAAGGACATTTTGGAACTGGGCTGTTCACTTGGGTTGGAACAAAAGAGCCCCAAGGTAGGGAATCACTTGTGTTATCTGACTGAGATTGCCACCAGTGACCACCTGCATCAAGTGGGGAAGAGTCTTCTGCAGAATTTCCAAAGAATTTAGCAAGTAATGAAGATAGCACAGAGAGTGCCCACAACCCACTGAGAGATTCTTCAGCTCCATGTTTGCCAGTAGTCCAGGCAAGAGGATCAGAATTTCCAGTTTTGTTTACATGACCTGTTTGGAGATTAATCACAAACATCACCTATATAGATACAACTGTGGAGGGCAACTTGACCTTGTTGTATTACAACTTTATAGGGGAATTTAGATTACTATTTGCAGATACTGTTTCTTATTATAGTCTTCCTTCCAGAAGAACTTAGAGAAAGTCTGTGTGGCATCAAACTCTGTCGCTGACTATTTATTGATAATGGTGAGTGCATTAAACATCGAAGTCTTATTTCTGTGGGGAATCAAGTCCCTAGTCTGGTCCCCCAAGTCCATAACCTGTTTTATGGTATTGCATATCCCTTTGGCCACCTCAGGTCAGCTGTCCCTGCCATGCTTCCTCCCGACTTCTTGTGCCCCTCCTTACGGGCAGAGCAGGAGACTCTGAAAAGCTTTGGACTCAGGGTAAGCACTGCTGACACACAAGTGAAACATCAGAGTGTTATCAACATGATTCTCATACCAAATCCAAAATACAGCCCTGCACCAGCTACTGAGAAAATTGGCTCTGTCCCAGCCAAGACCAGGACAAGGAGAAGGTATAACAAGAGTGGCAAGGGTGTGAAATGGACTGTTGCAGCTGAAGACTTTTTTCAGATACTTCTTCAAACCAGTGTCATTCACCCAGTGCTGGAACTGTCTTCAGACTGTGTTTGCATAAACTAAACTTACTCCTGCATTCTCATGTTGTAGCATCTGAGTCAGGAAATGTGTCCTACTACTATATTCAGCCCAGTATGTTTTGATGAAACAAAGGTCTTGTACCAAAACTACTGCTGTCATTATTGTGCAGTCTGTCCTAGCACGTGGCTTTTCTCAAGTGTAACTCTTCCTCTTCCCCCAGAATCTACAATTGTAAAAGTCTTACTGCCTGCCACCACATGTCTTCAAAGACCAAAGGACATTTTTAATGAGAATTGCTGTAAAATTCCTGGCTTGATTTATGAAGTAAAGAAAAAATAATCACAGAAACATTATCCTCTTACGTGTTAAAATTTTTGCCTTCAACTTTATGGTTATAACAACTTAATTTTTTGCAAATGGAATAACCAAATGTTTACCATTTATATTTCCACTTAGAAATATAGACTGCTTAAATACAAGACAGTTTGAGAGAAAGGGAAGTGGAATTGTAAAGGACTAGAGGTCCTAAGTTTGTTCTAAATTGTGGAATAAATAAACATTCCGAGCCTCAGCACCAGACATTTGCTGAAAACTTTTCTTGTAACTTATCTTTGAGAAATAAAGCTGAAAAGTTTTTTAGCAGTTTGCTGTGCTGTTTTAAGGAGGTTTTTGTAATGTGTATAAAGTGAGACAAACATGGCAACAGGTCTTCACTTTTGGTTTCCTTAAGCCAGTTTTAATGTATGCATTTCTTTCTTTCTTTTGAACAAGACAATACAGCCACAAATAAAGCAAGTACAATCATTCTGCATTGTTTATATTTATGCATTTATAATTGTAATCCATAGGTATGTTGACAGCTATAGAAATCCACCTAGCCCATGCTGAGGTCACCAGTTACAACAGGTGCCCAATGTCTTATCAGCATCTTCACTGCCTTTCAGAAAGTGCCAAACCTGTTTTCATTTATGCTGCACTCAGCCACTAGACATGATTTCTCACTGTTCAGTAACACCTCCCTCTCCTTTCCCCCCTCAAAAAAAAAACCAACAAAAAAAGCTTGACTCCCAGCATTCCTCTCATGTCTCACAAATATGTGTGAAAGTCTGTGGCAGGGAGCTGACTGTTCATCACCATTAGCCACTCCTCTTCTGCTGCCTTCTATGCCTGTGTCTTCCAGCACTTATTCCTGTAGTTCAGGTGCTGGAGGAGGCGTGTGCTGTGGTTTTAGACACCCTTGAGTGCAAGTCCTGTGGATCATTAGCATAGGCAAGTGGTATGGGAGAATGCAGAGGCAAGGGGTACTGCTGGATATTTGGTTTCCCACGGCTTTTATTTATAAAGGAAATTAAACATGAAAAACCGTAAGAAGAGAATGCTGTGGTGCAAACCTTAAAGACGTCATGGAGTATTTGCTGCTGTGTGGGAGACATGCCCTGTGTGGTGCACAGGACAAGCAGTGACTGGGCAAGGCTCTGGAGAGGTAAGGGTGCACTTTTGTGTGGAAGCCATGACCTGGAACCCAAGAGCAGGCTCGCATCATCAGGAGAAACGCTTGACTAATTCTGGCAGTTCTCTCTCTCTATGATTCACCTTGCAGCTTTAGTGTTACATTAACTCCTCCTTAGTGTTACATTAATCCAGGGCAAACAAATTCCTTAGGTTTCCTGTTGCACTCCCAAACACACACATTCATCAAAACTAGGGTAACTTTCTGCTCGTACCTTGTTTTTACCGTATTCTTTTGCATGCATTTACACTGCACACAGTCTGAAAAAAATGTGTTTCAGGATTTTCGTTTCCTTGTTTTAGTACCTATCTCTGTAAGTACTACACGGAGGACTTAGATCTCCAGGAAAGTTTGTTTATGCTGCACTAGAGATGATCATTTCACATGAGTGTAAATCACAATATTCTTCTTCTTTCTTCTTTCTCCCTTCTCCCTTCTTTCTTCTTTTTCTTCTTCTTCTTATTCTTTTGTCTCTTGTATGGTCCAGAGCAGAACTGTCTGAAAATGTGGAGAAAGTATTCTTTGAGACTGGCACTCTGTTGGAAAGGATGCCTAGATGCCAGGTTGAGTACTCAAATAAGACATTTTTTTCCCCTATTGGTTCTGCTGACTTTGTTTCAATCTCTTAATTGGTTTTTATAAGCTTTGAATCAGAGCAAGCAAGTGCAATAGTCTTCTGATGAAAACGGTAGTAAAAACTCCTGCAGTTCGAAAGTGAATTTCTGTGTATCCTCATCCTAGCAGGTCTGTCAGTAAACCTACATGGAGTCTAGCAAGGAGGCAACTTTTAAGTAGAACTTTTCCTAACCAGATGAAAATACAAATCTGTTGGTCTCAATCTCCAAATTTAGTTTATATAAGATCTTGGATCTTAGATCTTAGCCTTGCAAGAGAACAGCTACAAGTCTGTTGATGAAAAATTGCAAGTATTTTTCTCGTGTATAGTTTGTCAATATTACTGGAGGTACCAAAACAGAAAAAGTAAAAATAAAACTGCTCACCAAGGGGATAGTCCTGCTCTGCTTTATTCTTATGACAGAAGCTGTGCTGTGTAGGACAGGAATAGGATCGATTTCAGATTCTTCATTTCTTTACCCTCCGCTGCTTCCTGCTGAACTACCTTTTTTCCCCCCAGTAGCCTGAAACACATTCCAGAAATGTCTGTGTGAGGTAGAAGAGTGCCAAGGCTGCTGATGAATAAGAGACTTTGTGATGAATCTTGTAAAATTGGACCTTTTCATTCAGAGAATAGTTCTCAATTACTGAATCTTTTGTTTCCTTCTTTTGAATTGCCAGGGAGAGGAGGAGATGTTAAGTGTTGTCCTGCAACACTTCCCTCTAGCTACCTGAATTACCAGAGGCGTGAATTGCTTTGACAGGGAAGGGAGGGGGGCGGGTGGGGAAAAATACAGAGGAAGTTGACTCAGTTTGTTAAATATGAAGATGCAGCAATCATATTACTTCACTTCTGAAACTACACCAGTTTTGGGTTATTTAAGTTTACATTGGAAGTTTGATTTTGAACTTGCTGATCCAAGCTGAGAGATGATAATGACAACTTTCGACTTTTAAATCACCACTTGTTAAACAAGTCTTACTGACACCCAGTTCCTTGGAATAAATCTGTAAGTTGATTTTTTTTTTTTTTTTCTATTCTAAATTATTCTGCAACAATATTATTATTCTAAGATTTAGTTTATTTGTTGATACTTCAGGTTAGAGCTTCCTACAAGGAGAATTTGGATTGCATGTATATTTTATCCAGGCTATGTCAGAATCCCAAACATACATTTTTTTTTCTGCAGAGAGTTTTCCTGTAGTAACAGCTGGAGAGCTATAGCAGTTTCTATCTTAACAAATGTTAAGTGTGTGGCATGCAGTGCGTGGTCAGGGCTGCAGCAGCTGTGTCCCAGGGGTGCACCTTGGTGAAGTTAACTGTCATGCCTCAAATGGTAGGATCTGATTAGTAATTGGTAATAGTAATATGTAAACATAGATGTGTGAGCTGTCACTTCAAGAAGGGGCACTTGATGCAATGGAAGAACTACCTTCTGGTTTGACAGTTCTTGCTTGTGAAAGCTGGAATTTAGCAGAATTGAGTCTCACAGAAAGTATACTCTCAAAATACAGTTCTGTATTTTCCCTGTCAATTATTGTAGGAGCTCCTGTTGTCTCTCTCCATTTGCAATGTTTCCTTCTTTCCCAAGCTGAGGTGGGCAGCTCTGCTGCAGCAAACACTGTAGCATCCTTTCAGCATTGCTGCCAGAGCCATCAGCTTCCAGCTTCAAGGGAGCTGCCCTGTCTCCACAGATTTTTCCAGGTTTTTGTGTTGGCTGCTGGTGCATTGGCTTGGCAGCCATTCTTGTCTGGGAGAGCTTTTTAGAGACTCCAATGCTTATTTTGTATAAAAATCTTCTGGACAAAATGTCTAACTCAGGAGGCATGCAGCTGCTTTCCACACTGCACCAAGTTCTGTGTTTCATTTCTTTATTATGTACAAGGGGTTTAGCTGGGAAGACTCTGCTCCCTCTCTGTGCTGTTTGTTCTTCTGAACAGTTGCAGCAGCCAGCATCCCTTCAGATCTCAGAGGGAGACCTCGGAATGCAGTGGCAGACCTCCAGATCTTTTCAGTGCTAGGGGAATGCCCTGGCAGGGTGCTTGTTGAGGAGTACTGCAAGATACCTGACTAGATGAAGCTACTTCCCTCCATGACCAGGGAAGAAAGGAGAGAAACCAGAAGTGGGTACAAGTTTCAGGAGCAGGGCAGCCCCTTCTCCCTCTATCTGTGAGGGAAGCACCCTGATAGCCCATGCCATCAGCTGTGCCCGATGCAGAGCTGCACTGATGGCTCTTCCCATCTCCCTGCAGTCTGAAGATGTCAGATGGACTCTGTGCTCTCCCTGAAGGTTTTGTTGTGGCAGGGCACCCCAAGAACACAGTCCTGAAGAGCTTCCTGCATTTGCAGGGGTAGAGCAGGCCTGTCAGACCCACACACCACACACCACAGATGGGCGTATAGCATATGGTGAACTTTCTCCTGATTTCTAATGTTAAACCTTGCTCACTGATGTAGGGGGAAAAGACAAGGATGTTCCTCTCTTAAAAATGCCTTCTGTGACCAGTTTTGTCCTGCACCCTGCAAAAGCTGGTATTATGGGCATAAAGCATTTTCAAGAGAACGAGTCCTGGCATGGCTACTTGTGTTCACATGAGAAAATTCACTGTGGAGTCTGTTCTTCTAGCTGGGGAGGCAGCACTGGCCTCTTGGGAAGCAGATTGATAGACCCCTGCAGAAAATAGAGCTCTAGACACATGGTTCCCTGCAAGTGTGCTGAGATACTCTTTTCTTTTGTGCCAGCAGGCGACAGACTCCCCTCCCAGCAAAGGAACTTCACCAGTCTTAACTCTCTAACCTTGCCCAAATAACTTGTGGCTTACAATAATTACACTTCCTGCAGAATGGCATGGAGAGGAGGAATTTACTGCTCGTTTTTAAGGTTTGGGTGATTAGTTTTGATTTTTTTTTTTAATAAAAACTAGGTTATCGTCTTAGTGTTGTTGCTACAGATCTCCAAGATGTAGAGTCCAGGACTGAACATGTTTTGCAGGATGTTTGCTCTCTCATCGCTGCCCTCCTCTCTCTAACCCCAGCTTGCCACTTCCTCATTCATTTAATGAAGACAGAGGGTTCTTTATTGTATGATAGTCAAAATGTAATATGATAGTGTAGCAGGAGAGCTGTGGAATGGTACCAGGTGTTTGGTGTTTTCTGTTTCAGGGAGACCTGTAGCTGCAAGAATGGCTTCTGTCTTGCTCAGTCCCTGTGCAGGAAGGGAAGGCAGGCTGGGAATACTTGGTGGTGTGGCACCATCTGTGCAGCCACGAACCTTTTCAGGGGCTGCAAGTCAATGTGGATGGTATTGTGAGTTAGGTCCCTTATAACCTCCTGAGGAAGAACAATGCCAGCTGCTCACACAGAGGTAAATGTGGAGCTGGGTCTCACCACATATGAAAAGCTCTGAGCTGGCAAGCTGTATAGATGTGAAAACCCATACAGAATCTCCAGAAGATCCAATTTTAGATCACATTTTTTCATGAGGGAAGTTTGGGCAAAACTGTTTTTGTACAAAAAAACCCAATTTTTTTTTGTTTTGTTCTGTATTTATAATGTATTTTTTATTTTTACTCTGTATAAAGGCATTGGGATTGTTTTGTCTCTGGCCTCTCAGGGAAGAAGCAGCTGAGATTTCCTTATAGAATGTGCTTTTAGTTAGTTGGTTCTGATCATCTTTCTGTTTTACCTTCTGTTATGCTCCAAGTGAGCCAGCACATATTTTACAGTATTGTCTTTCTTGATGGGCATATCAATAAAGCAGGACTGATAAATTGTTGTTTCAGAACTGCTTCTTGAAAGACACATCCATCATTTTGTGGATAAATTCAATAACCAGAGCATGCTTTCTTCATTTTTGAACATGTGTCTCAGGAATCATGTTATCCTATGTGTTATCCCATGAGCACATTGTTCTTTGGAAGTAGTACTGACTGTGCTTATTAATGCACAGTGAAAATCTCTTACAAAGAGAACTTTCATAGCCTATATGGAAAAGTAGCTTAGACCTCCTGTCTTTAAAGATTAGTTTCATTTTAGAGCTTCTCTCCCAATGACAAGTTTAGAATAAGACACTGCCAATAGTTGTCTTGGACAATTAAGCCATTAAGGCAGTCTCAAAATGAGTTAATAGCAGTAGCAGCCTCCTGTTTTCTCAGAGAAGGATGTGCAACTTTTTCTCCTAGCTAAATTGTATCTCAGAATTTTAAAAAGGCTTCTTGTAAATATTCCCTTGCTGAAGGAGTGTTCAATCCACCCCTGGATGCAATTATATTCCCATACGAAACCATCTTTTTATTTCTTAGTATCTTGTATTTTTTTCTGGCAGGTGGAATACATGCAACATAAGCCCTGAAACTGAATTCTTACTACAGTCATGGTACAAATTAATTTATTTTAGAAGTGGCAAAGTCTTTCCATATTCTCCCAGTATATATGCTGATTAATATTTTCTAGTCTCATTCATACCACATAATAGTTGGGTTTGGAAGGGATGCCTGGAGATCTGTGGAAGCTGCACACTTTGTATGCTGAAACAGTGCTTTAAAAAGCTGAAGGAAACCAAATCAGGTCCTCATACACTCTGCTTTCCTGATTAGAGATGAAACCACTTTTGGCTCAGTAGCTTTGAATTGTACTGCTGATCTCCCAACAGTAGCATACTGCTATCGATTTCATCTCGAGTAATCATTTCACAGCTGCTCTTACATCATTGCCATGTTTTTGTCCTTCACCCTTGACTGAGCTTTTGAGCAATGAGCATCTGGTGAAGGTGATGACAATGATGAAAATGTAACCATTCAGAAAAAAAGCAGCCAAGGACGTTTGCACCAAGTGGTTTGTGTTGGGTATTCAGCTTCATAGGTGAAGCAGTGAAATCTTGTCAGGAGGTCATTCATTTTGAGAGTGATTGGACAGGGCATTGCAAGTTTTCATCTTGTGTTATGAAGAGTGGTCATGCTGGTCAAAATTCCAAGCTAGTAAAAAGTCATCTCTTGATTTTTGTTTTAAAAAGAGATCAGCATCTCTTGCTGCCACAAAACTAGCCTCCAAAAAGAGAACCTTTCCTCCACCTTTTCTCTCACTCCTAGATTTGTGTTGGTGGTTGACTATCCTGATGATCTTGCACTTGTCTCTCTTTTCTTCATGGCAAACTTACATCCTGTGTATATCTGAAACTGTGTTAGGTGTTGGGTCTCTACAGGCATTCCCTCTTCTTGCCTTAGTTTCTTTGCTCTCTGTCTAATCACTGGTGGTCAGATGTTTAAGGAATGAGTGAATGAGTTCTTGATGGATATTAGAGACAACCCCATGGACGTCTGGCACAGGGTACAGTATCAGACACCAGACCAACAGCTAATTTCTATGTAACAGCAGAGTAACAAATGCAAATTGGCAGTACCATTTCTCAGGCTCAAATGACAGCAAATCCCGTAACTCACCAATGCTATGTTTAATGTCCAGGTGCACAAAGACTTACATGACCATAGTGACCAGGCAGGCTAGCAGGAATCTGGGAATGGATCTTCTCCAGGTGAGGAGTGCCTTAGGTTTGCGCAGCCAGGTTTTGCTAACAGATGGGCCACAGGGATTTCTTCTCTGAGAAGCTGCCAGAAGCCTTCTCTGTGTTCGAAACGGGCAGTGCCAGCAGGCTCCAGGACAGGCCCCTGGCTGGGCAAGGCTGAGCCCATCACCGATAGCCCTGGTGCCTCTGGGATATCAGAGTGAAGAAGGGGAAAAAGTTACTGCAGAGGCAAAATTGCAGCTGGAGAAGAGAGGAGTGAGAATATGTGAGAGAGACAGTTCTGCAGACACCAAGATCAGTGAGGAAAGAGGGCAAGGATGTGCTCCATGAGTGAAGCTGAGATTTCCTTGCAGCCCATAGTGAAGCAGTTGTGCCCCTGCAGCCCATAAGGTCCATGGGAGAGCAGACACCTTCAGCCCATGGTGGACTCCACGCCCTAGCTGGTGGATGCCCAGAAAAAGCTGTGATCCCATGGGAAGACTAAGCTGGAAAAGGCTCCTGGAGACCCATGAGACCCCTTGGAGAGAGGAGCCAACACTGGAGCAGGCTTTCTGGCAGGACTTATGACCCCACAGGGGACCCACACTGCTTCCAGAAGGACTGCACCCCGTGGGAGGGACTGACACTGGAGCAGTTTGTGAAGGTCTGCAGTGGGATGGACTCACACTGGAGAAGTTTCGGAGGACTGTCTCCTGTGGGAGGGACCCCAGACTGGAGCAGGGGAAGGGTGTAAGGAGCCCTTCCCCGGATCTTGGCTCCCCAGAGGAGGAAGGCAGAGAACCAGGAATGAAGTTAAGCCCAGGAAGGAAGGAGAGGTGAGGGTGCTTTTAAGATTTGGTTTTACTCATTATCCAACTCTGATTTGATTGGTAATGAGTTCAAGACAAGTCTGTTTTGCCTGTGGTGGTAATTGGTGAGCAAACTCTCCCTGCCCTTAGATTGACTCATGAGCCTTTTGTTATATTTTCTCTCCCCTGTCCAGTTGAGGATGAGGATGATAGAGCAGCTTTGTGGCACCTGACATCCAGTTAAGATTAAACCACCACAAGGAACAACTTGGACCAGTCAGAGGGCTCAAGAAATGCCAAGTTCTTAAATCAGATGATTTTTTTCACTGTTAAGCTGAGCAGAAGCAGTACCTGGACTTTTTAATCAGTGACCATGTCCCACCTCCACTCCCCCTCTTTGCCAGTTCTGTCCTTGGTGTGCTCAGGTGAGGAAATACCACATAAAGCAGTACTAGTCCCATGCTTACACATCTGTCAGCATCAGCTGGGAGCTGATTATTCTGTTTTTGGAAGGTATTGGTGGTGATGTTGGAGGCAGATGTTTCCCTGATGTCAGAGTTAAGCTCTGCTCCCATGGCAGTTGGTAGTTATAATGGATGATCTTTGTCTTCACTGTTCATAGAAGTTTATTATATGTGAGTGGACTCAGTTTTCCCTTTCCATTCATATATTGGAAGGAAGGCAAGCTTTCATTTCCTAATATTTTTAAGGAAAAAAATAAGTGGGATAGTGAAGGGGACCATTTAGTCAGTAATGGAAGTTGGGGACATGAGTAGGGAGACCACAGGGTGCCAGCCACCTCCTGACACCCAAAAAAACCAGACAGTTTTTTCTCAGAAGTGCTTTTGATTGTACTCATATGCTTTATTTCCTGAGTTTTTAATGTTAGTATTTTAAAGGTTATGGCATAAATATAAAACTTGTTACAATTTTTTTGAATTAGAAGGGGATTAAATTTATGATTCTCCTTCGCCTCACTTGACCCTTAGAGGAAATATTTGGTGCATTTGTGGCTTTCCAGAATGGACAAGGAGAGGTTAGTACCTACTCATAAGGGTTGTTGTTACTTCATTACTAATTTTCCAGCCTATCCTGTGTATTTATTTACCTACTGTGTGCTGACATCATTTGGATCCAGCTGCTGCTGAAATAAAAGGCCATTTTCCCACCTGTGTTCACCTGCCTCTGTAAGCAGAGAAGGAAGAGAAAAATACTTTGAATCCATCTGTTAGGATGGACTTACTGCCAAGATAGGAGGGCTGTTTGGTCCTGTGGTAATCTTTGCTGGGGGCATGTGAGAACTGAAATGCAAATAGCTGCATTTCTCTTTTTGGTTGGTGGATCAGAAAGCCATTACCCTCTTGTAGAGCTTTTGGTCCAGTATCCTGCATAGTCATTTTGCTGAGCAGCGGAAGGCGCGGAGGAAGGAGGGTCACTGCATGCTGTGAAGCCTCTCCTGCAGCCCTGCATTAGTAGGCTCCTTTTTTCTGGCCTGTGTAATACCTGTCAGCTGCCCCTCATGCCATGTTTGCACAAGGGTCATTCCTGCAGTGTATTTGACCCCAGTTTGTGCTGTGGCTGAATTAGATCAAGCCAAGCCTATATATAACACTTTCTTCTCTTGGTTAGATTGACTCTGGGAGTAAACCTGTTCCCTGGGGCTATATCTGGTTTTATATATGCGCTGGGTCAAGGTATTAACTGTTAGTCAAAGTTGCTGGCTTGTTCACGGTTCATCAAAAATAAAGCAGACAAGCTAACACTGAATCGACTGCTCCAAAGCTATGTTAATGTTTTCCTTCCTGACACAGGTGGGGACCTGACCTCTTTCCTCTTACCGGTGGTTTTGTATGCAAGAAGCTTAACTTGTCTTTAAAATCTCTTGTCAGTAAAAACAGCTGTGTTATGAAATACGAAAGCTCATCTCATCTGGTAAAGGAAAATACTCTTTTGCCCTATAACACTGAACATAACAGAACAATGTGGAAGTGCATTCCTTCTGCCTAACAGAAATGAGCAAGTCAACTCTGAAACTCTAATTGATGTCATTTCCTGACCTACCGGTGCCTTTCTCACCTTCTGAGCATGTCCCCTAGGCAGTTTGGGAGCTGCCCAGCACATGAAAGAACACCTGAGATGCTTTGTGTTCCCAGGCAGTGCAGCTGCTTTTGTGGATGCAGTGAGAGCTGTACTCCAATTTTAGAACTCCTTTTACCCTGTGGGGGTAACAGCAGCTTTTGGTGCTGATCCTGAGCATCTACAGCTGTGAGATACTTCCAGCCTTGTCTCTTCACTTCTATTCAGTAGTGGTGGTACCATTACATAACTCAGATGGTGGGTTGTGAGGATTCCTTATGGAGGTTGCATCTGCTCTGTAACTCCTCTAGCCAGAGCAGCACAACTTCTTGTGACCATTATGCTCTGCTTTTGTCACAGTGGTCCTTGCTGTGCCAGAAAGCATCCAAATGAGAACTTCCACCCTTCTGTGGCTTCTTCAGGGTAGATGAATTACACCCTTGAGATTACTAATAAATGTGAGTTTGAATATTGCTTTTAAACTTTTATATTCCTTCCTCAGTGTTTTGATTAAGGCAAATTAAAAATCACATAGCAGCCTGTATTCAAAGGTCATGCAAGTTAGCAATTTGAATTCATTGAGTATGATGGGGGCATAAAGATAAAATGAGAGGTTTCAGGGGGTGTTACAATACTAATTCTTTAGGATGAGCAAAATAGCAGACTGAGATTTGCTAGATTCAGAGGGATCCCACAATAATCAAACCATCCACAGGTCTGTAATCCTGTACAGTGAGATCCTAGATAAACAGTCCAGACTTGTAGACTGTTAGATATTCCATATTACATTGTATTTCTTTGTCAGTGCAAAAAATACTCCACTGTGCAAATGGGGACAAAATGTCATCTACATACTTTTATGTGTATGACCATATCTGCTCTAAGTATCCTGTGCTTATTTTAATTCTGGCTGGAAATTTGTCTTTGGTTTCACCCTCTGCAAGGTGGGATACTGGCACCACCAAGTACCTTTTTAAACAGCTAAACTAAATGTTACCTTTCTTGAAAAAAAAATAAAAATGAGGCAGTCATCTTCTTAATAATAATGATAATGTATTTTTATAAAGTATCTTACATAATTTCCTAAAATCAAAGCACTGGGGCCTAAATAGCTGAGCTTCATTAAGCAGATGAAATGAAAGAAGAGAAGCATCTGGCAGAAGAATGGAGGGCAGTGTAAAAATAGAGGCATATGGTTGTTTGAGTAGCATTAGTAATTTCTGAAATTACATTGCCTATGAACCTCTGCTCCATTCAAAGTAGAAGACTGAGCCAACAAAGCCAATTTTTAGGACACTCACACAGTGTTCCTTTCCTCCTGAAAATAAGTGGCTGAAGCTTGGGGAAATCAGAGGTACCTTTTGGGCAGCAAAAAATTTTGCCACATGGACAATTTTATGATATACCCCAAATAAGTCTTCAGAAAAAAAGTAATTTTTTTTTCAAAAAGTATGCTGTTTTCCTAGAACATATTCCCTGATTCATTGTGATTGGTCAGTATAAGGATCCTGGAGAATATTCCTTAAATAAACACACCCCTTATTTGTACATATTTGTTTGTATAGACCATAGGAGGAGGCTGGCTTGCTTTGTGCTGGGCTGTGGAGTTTTTGCCATAACGTGACTTACCAGAAACCTGTATTTCAGAAATGATTCTTCAAACTTTTAATCTTGAGTTAAAGAGTCAGTTTCAAGCTTCTGTTGTAAAATTGTTTCAGTTTTTTTGGTTTTTTCTGTTTGTTTATTTGGGGGTTTTGTTTGTTTGTTTTTGCATTCCTCTTTGTTTTCCCTTTTCCTCCCTTACATAATTTCCCCTACTCTCTACCATCATCTTTTATGTTCCTTTTAAGAAACTTAGCTGGGTGTAAGCGGTACTGCATTACTTCATGCACAATAATACTTCATACTCAATAATAGTATGGTGGGATATGGATATACTGCTTATTAAGAAAGACTGCAGAAAGTATAACTGCTGTTATTTAGGATCTTTAGGATTATTTCCAATTTATGTAATTGTGGACACCATTATATTTAAAGATTGAATGTCTCCTAAAGTAGAGAAAATCTTTTTGGCAGTTTGTTGAAAATCCCCTGGTGTCTCTGACTGTACTGTGCAAGTGATGTGGTGTAGTCAGTAGGGGACTATGTTAAATGGGAAATGCACATTCTGCTGTAATAGTCAAAGTGCAAGAGCATCTTATTCCACTGTAAAAAGGATGGCAATTGGCAGCTTTCTAAAGGAGGTTTTCATATTTTTGAGATTTTAATAGTGATAAATAGAATGATGCTGTATGCTGAATGCTTCTAGTTGTGAAATAAAAGGCACACTAAAAGTAGTTTTCCCGCATAAAGTTGATTAAAATTTATCTATGAAATGAAAAAGCTGTGTAGCTCTGTAGGAAGTGGAGAGACCTATGCTGGTTTGGAGTTAACACTGGAGAGGTTCAGCACTGGGACTGTTTCATTTCACGCAGTTTCCATGAACAGCTGCAAGTGCTCAGCTTTTCAAGTACATTTTTAAAGCAATTTGATTAGCCAAATGGGATGATGTAGAAGTTGTTTCTCTCAGAAAACTCACTGGTGAGTTTTACTGTAATATGATATGGTCTAGTGGTCACATTCAAAGTGAATAAAGTGAAAAATTATCATTGTTCATACTTTGTTACATTTTTGAGATTAAGAGATTTGGAGGAACATGAGTAACTCTAATAAGTAGTCTAAGATTTCTTTATCAAGCTATGCTAAATTAATTAAACATGGGCTGATTTACAACAACATCACTTTATTTTTTTGCGTCAGTTTAATAAAGTTGGTTTTAAATCAAAATCTTAAGTCACACTGGCATATCTTATTTGCACAAAAGAGCCTCTGCATTTTGCTTCCTTTGCCAGCTAGAACCAACAGTTCTCTAGCCACTGCTAACATGTCCAGCCTGAGACAGCACTTATCCTTCAGCACTATATTCTTTATTTCCATTTAAGTTTTGGTTCACTGTGTCTAACAGGTGGTTTCCTCCAGTATTCCTGCTTAGTCAGTTCATTCCTATTTTTGCATTTTTAGAGTTGATTATCCTATGTAAATGTGAAATTTCGCACCTTATTGATTGCATCCTCTTTATTCCAGACCATTTCTGCAATTTGAAATGACTTTGAAAAGTGACCTGTCTCTCTCTAAAGAACTTGAAGCTTTACCCAATCTGATGTTAGAGACAGATTTCACAAGTCTCATCTCTGTTTCCTTGATCCCAAATGGAATTGTTGGACTGGACCCAGCATATAGTGTCTGATGTAGGAGCCTATCAGAAATTTCAGGACAATTTGGTAAAGAAACATTCAGAGATAACGACTGAGCTATTGATTTTCTAAACCACTTGGGCACCTAGCTTGAACCCATAGGTTGTGTGTTCTTAGTTCATGTGTCAGTGTCAAAAGCCTTATTGAATTCAAGATACGTACACTGCTTTTCTTTTTGCTTACTGAGAGGTTACCCTGTCAAAGAGGAATATTACATCAGACATAATTTTTGATGATTTTTGTGATGTTAGAGTTTTGTTATCTTACTTCCATTCTTGTATTCTACTTCTGTCTGCTTAACCATTTATTTCTGGGTGGTAAGGGCAGGATGGCAATTTGTAATTCTTTTAGTTTTTCTTCTTTCCACCTTTTCAATGACAATCTTGACTTTCCTTTGTAGAATTTGTCGATTTTCTCTCTTCTCAGCAAGCTTATAAATATGAACCTAAAAGGATGTAGGGACATTGGTTTAATTGATAATATTTTCCAGAATGTTCCAACCTCCCCCTTATTTTCTCTCATGGCCTTTCTTTGGTATAACAAGACAAGACAGGAAAATGAGCAGCTGTATTGGCTTAGCGGGGCCAAAAAGTTCCTCCTCCTTGCCTCACACAGTGGGCAGAAGTGTATAGCTAGGGAAGAGAAGGAAGGAAAACTATCTCTCCCTTGGTTCTATATGGTCATTCAATATCTACATCATCCTTTCTCTGGATAAGATGGGGTTGGATAACAATGACCTAAGCTTGATTTCCTAAATTCCATAAATGTACATTTGTGTTAGTTTCTGAATGTAAAACATTCTTTTGCTACAATGTAATTGTTGCTGGATATTTTAATAATAAATGCTTATATCTTCAGAACTTTCTGGTAATTTTTCCTGATGTTACCCTATGAATGCTGTAGCTTCAGTGTTCTTGTATTCTAAACTGTGGCATGACTTTGGAAAGGGTACCTGGCTTAGAGAGTTAAGGAAACAACTTCCATATTGTGTGAGAATTGAATGACTGCAGCATTATTTTGGGGATATGAACATGACTGATAAAAGGCTATCTAAAATGGTTAAGCAGCATTGTTTATATTTTAAATGAAAACAGTAAGATGCTTTTAGGGAAGAGTGATGAAAGAAGGATGACAGACTTTGATGAAACAGTAGGAGAGAAACATAAGGTGCAGGATATGTTTGGTGCAGCTGGGTGAGCATGCTGAAGTCATGGTGCTTTGAGCTGAGGAGCTCAAATTTGTATGTTTTGGAGATTAGTCCATGAGATGTGAGTGTCAGTGTTACTTGTGTGTTTTATGAAGCTGGTGATTGGGCAGATGAGGCTCTGCAAACACATCACCAGGTCTAGGAATCCAACCCACTGCTTTATTTGCTTGTAGTTCACCTGTGAATGAAAGAAGAAAACAATATAATTCTATTTCAGTGTTGTTCACAGCAAGTCTGAAAGGGTCTTTTGTTTCCCTTGATTGCTTTACTTTTCATTTTAACAGTGTTTCAAACACCACTGTCTTCTCTGAATGTGTTGGAGGTCTCCATGGAGAACCAGCATGGTCAGGACAGGCAATATTCAGCTCTAGGCTGCAGACTGGTATGATGCAGGAGACACTCTGGCAATTGTACTGCAGTGATGCATCTTCCTGAACATAATCCAAAACAAAACAAAGTAACAGAAAGGATTTTGCTTTCCTTTGGCACTTTTGCTGTGATGCTTACTCTGATATCACCTTTCCAGTCATTCATGTGGCATCCCAGGAGAGGCAAGACATGAATTTCTAATACAAGTAATAAATAGGAGCTTTTCTTCCTCCTCACCTAAATATGTAATTTAATACTGCAGGGACAGAGGATATGTTTTCTTTGGCAGGTCATTTTTAAGAGTCTTCCACACAATTTTTATGCCAAAACACTTCACTTAAGTAATTCTGTTATAGAGGGACACTAAGAAGCTCAGGCAAGAAAGGCAAGACATTTTCTCCTTGGGTTTGAAACAAGTTAG